CGCCGCAGGCCCTCGACGACGAAGACGCGGAGCTCGTGGAGCTCGGCGGCGAGCGACGCCGACGACGCCGCGACGTCGACCGCGAGCGCCGTGGCGCGGAGCCGGCCGAGGCGGGCGCGCGCGTGGGGCAGGCCCACGTCCTCGACGAAGCGCTGGATCTTCGCCTGTGTGCAAATCAACCAGTGAGCTGGGACGTCGGGGCCAAACTTCAGAATTCTCTAGCTCGGTCAAATCGAAGTCGATTCGGCTGATTTTTGGACGAATCGATTGCTCTCAGCGAGTTCTCGAAGCACGGCGGAAGTGCTTGTGTCAAAACATTCGAATACGCGCACATTGAAGTCGTGTTGAAGATTTGATTTCGACACAGATCTTCGCCGCGCGGCGCCGGAGCTCCGCGCGCGTCGCGTTCTTCGGCGGCGCGAGGTCCGCGAGGTCCCGCTCCATGGGGTCGAGCTCCTCGGCGTCCGGCGCGGCGGCGGGCGGCGCGGCGTCGCCGGCGGCGGCGCCGCCGGCGGGCGCGGCGGCCGCGGCGGGCGCGCCGTCGAACTCCTCGAAGAAGTCGTCCTCGTCCGACGACGAGCTGTCCGACGCGTCGGGCGCCGCGGCCGCCGCGGACGACCGGCGGCGGCCGACGGCCTTGCGCCAGAGCCGCGCGACGTCCGCGCGCGCCGCGCTCTCCTCGGCGTCGACGACGACGGCCCGGTCCTCGGCGTCGTCCGGTTGCGCGTGGCCGCAGTCGACGGCTAAGGAGCCGCACCCAAAGACCTTGCAGCGGCCGAAGACCGTGCGCTTCGCGCGGTCGTCGCCGAGCGCGTAGGGCTCGACGAGCGCCTCCGCGTCGAGGCCCCGCTCGCGGCCGCCGAGGACGTACGACACGTCGACGACGTGCCGGCCGGCCTCCGTGGCCGCGCGCGTGACGCGCGCGACGCCGCCGGGCTTGTTCTCGTTCGCGCCGAAGCGCGCCGCGACGCGGACGACGTCGCCCACGGCGAAGCGCCGCGCGGCCGCGCCGCCCGCGGGCGCCGCGGCCGGTTCCGCCGCGGGCGCCTCCTCCGGCGCCGCGGTCGCGTCGGGCGGCGCGGTCGCGTCGGGCGGCGCCGGCGCCGCGGCCTCCTCCGGCGCCGCGTCGTCCTCGGCCGGCGCCGCGTCCTCGTCGGCCGCCGCGCGCGGCGGCGCCGCGAAAGCGCCCGGAGACGCGCCCTCGGCGGCCGCCGCCAAGCCCTCGGCCGGCGCGCGCGGCGGCGACGCCGCGACGCTCGGCGCTTCGGCCTCCTCGGGCGCGCGCGCCGGCGACGCGGGAGCGCTCGGCGCCGCGTCGTAGGGCTGCGTCAGGGCGCCGGCGTCCCACTCGTCCTCCGCCTCGTCCATCGGCGCCGCCGCCGCGCTCGGCGACGCCTCCGCTGCAACGACCGTCGCCTCCTGCTTCGGCGCGGCTGCGGACGGTCCGAGGCGCTGCAGCGAGTCGAGCGGCGCCGGCGGTGCGCGTTTTGGGGCGGTCGAGCCAGCCATGCTCTCCCTTTGTTTTGAGCGCGGCTCGATCAACCGGCAGTGGGCGCGCCAGGCCTGGCGTGCAAGCGCAAGGCGTAGCGCAGCGCAGCGACGCTTTGCTCAGTGCCAAAAACAACCGACGCCTAGACACGCCCGTACGAAATAAGAAAATAATATTTATTAATTAAATCCGGCCAGCGGCCGGAGGGACGTGTACTAGACCTCCTGAAAATTTGCCGCGCGCGCGCGCGCGCGCGGGTCTAGTGCGGGTTGAAAGTCAAATTTTCGCGAAAATCGATCCTCACGCCCGAGTGTCTCAAAATGTACGACGCTACCGCACTCACAACGCCAGCCCCGGCGAAAGGGCCCCACTTTCGAGCGGTGTACGACACCCTTACTTCAACTTGTATGTTGAACTTGGCAACTTTTTTGTGTGAACTTCAAGATACAAACCCCCAGGCGTTTCGTTTCAAGCTTTTGTTTTTGACACTGGCTTTGCTTAACCGGCACGAGTCCCCTCCAGGGCGTCCTCCCCCACGCCCCTTCTCCGAGGCGTCTGCACGATAATCCTCCCGAGGAGCTCGGACTCGGAGCGCGTTAACTACGCCGGGCGCTTCCTAGTTGAAGGAGTAGTAGGAGACGGCGCCGACGGCGCCGATGAGGATGGCGGCGACGACGGTGAGGATGGCCTTCTGCTGGACCTCGCGCTTCTGCATGGAGGAGATGAGGCCGCGCGCGGCGCCGAGGGAGCCGGACCTGGGCAGCAAAAGGGTGCGAAATTCCCAACTTCAAAGGCTCCTATCTCGGTCGTTTTCCGCTCGTTTCGGCTAATTTTTGGACGAGCGATCATCTCTCGGAGCGCTCTCGAAGCGTGGATGCTTTTTCCGAAACGCGCGCGCGCGGAACACTCACGTTGAAGCGACGTTGAATCACCCTTGTCCTGCCCGGAGCCGGACGTGTCCGCGATGTGGCCGCGGATGTTGCCGATGGTCTCGCGGTTGCGCTCGAGCTCGCCGGAGATGTCGACGGCGACCTGCTCCGTGTCGTGGGCGATCTCGAGCGCGCCGCGGATGAGGTCCGTCTGCTGCTGGGCCCTGGCGTTCGCGTCGGCCAGGCGCCCCCGGCTCCCCGCGGACGCGTCGCTGACGCCGCCGCCGAGCACGGCCCGCCGCTCCGCCGCCGCGCGCGCGTCCCGCGCGGACTGCTGGAGCGTCTTGAGGGTCTCGCGGAGCGGCGCGGCCTCGTCCTGCAGCGCCTTCTTGTCGTTCGGCGGCGCCGATCGCACCTCGACGTCGAGCTGCTTCGCCAGGTCGCCGGCCTGGCCGAGGAGGCCGTCGCACTCGCGCAGGAGGTCCAGCGCCCTGGCGGGGTCGTCGGCGTAGCCGCCGGCGACGGAGAGCTTCTCCGCGCTCTGCCGCAGGACGTGGCCCAGCTCGTCCTTGTACTGGGCGAACATTTTCTTTTCGGTTTTTCCGCGGCGAGCCGCGGCGGTCGAGGGCGCGCGGCCGGGCCTTCCGCGAGCTGCGCGGGTCCGCGCGGCGCCGCGGCCGACTTTCGGGTCGACGAGCTCGCTGCGGGCGCACCTTGCACGACGCGTCCTCCGAGGGCCTCGATGAGTGGCGCCGCTTTGCCGGAAACGTCGGCGGCAACTTGGCGGCAACATTGCACTTATTTATCAACAGGCCTCGCACGCGACGGGGCAGGCGTCGCTGCTCGAGACGTCGGCCTCGTCGGTGTACTTGCTCTTGCACCGCTTCGACTTCTTCGCGATGTAGTCGCAGTCGTACTTCGACTTCTTCCAGTACCAGGACGTCGAGTCGGCGCACGCCGCTTCGCACTCGCCGCACGCGACGGGGCAGGCGTCGACGGACGAGACGTCGTACTCGTCCGCGTACTTGCTCTTGCACCGCTTCGACTTCTTCGCGATGTAGTCGCAGTCGTACTTGGACTTCTTCCAGTACCAGGACGTCGAATCCGCGCACGCCGCTTCCGAGTCGCACGCGCCGCACGCGACGGGGCAGGCGTCGACGGACGACACGTCGCCCTCGTCGGTGTTCTTCGACTTGCAGCGCGACGACTTCTTCGCGACGTAGTCGCAGTCGTACTTGCTCTTCTTGTAGAAGAAGCTCGTCGAGTCCGCGCACTCGGCGGACGACGTCGTCGGCGCCGGGATCGGAAGCGCCGACGGCGGCGCGGACGTCGCTTCGTCGGCGGGCGCGGTCGGCGCGGGACTCGGCAGCGCCGACGGCGCCGCCGACGGCGCGGACGACGGCGCGGGGCTCGGGAGCGCCGACGGCGTCGCGTCCGCGACGCACGTCGCGTACTCGACGAACGCGCCCTCGACGCAGCGCGTGACGCCCGACGCCGCGTAGCCGTCGTCGCAGGTCACGTGGCAGCCGTTGCCGCTGTAGAGCGTGGCGCCCGTCTCGCAGTACTCCGACGCGTAGGCGCCGTTGTCCGGCTGCGCCTCGACGGCGCACGTCGTCCCGTCGGCGACGAACGAGTCCATGTTCGTGAAGACGTTGCCCGTGACGACGTAGTAGTCCGTCATGTCGCAGCACGCGTAGCTCATGTCGCTCGCGCTCAGATAGTCGTCGGACGTCGTGAACGAGAGGAGCGCGCTCGACCCCTCCTGCTGGCTCAGGTCCGCGCGGAAGCAGAAGAGCGGGCCCGTCGTCGAGATGACGACCTCGTCGCCGTCGTCGCAGCGGTCCTGCGACCCCTCCGTGCCGCAGGTGTAGCCGAAGATCTGCGTGTGGTAGTGGCTGCGAGGGGCGAAGCGAGTCACGGGCGAAGAAACGCAGAGAACGCGGGAGGACGCGCTACGTCGTCCCGAGGTCGACGCCATAGTCGTCACTCGTCCAGGAGCGGATCCGCGAAGCCCGGCGCGTCGTCGCCGAGGTAGCGGCCGTAGATGAGGTGGCCGTCGGCGCCGAAGCCGACGATGGGCGGGTGCGACGCCGTGGACGTGTAGTTGGACGTGCCGTAGAGGCACTGGTGGCTGTCGCTGAAGAGGTCGCCGTGGACGTGGGGCTGGCCTGCGTTCCGCTCGAAATGAACCTCGAAGGCCGCGATGTCGCGCGGAGAGAAGACGCCGCGCGCGCGCCCGCGCCCTGGCCGACGTGGAGGTTGCAGGGCGACGCCTCGCACGTCGGCTGGTTCCACTCGCCGCGGTTGTTCTGCGTGACCCAGTCCTGCATGCCGTTGACCGTGATGCCGACGCCCGCGCCGTCGGGGAGGCCGTAGGTCCCGATGCCCGTGCCGTCGTCGTACGCGTAGTCGATGGCGTCGCTGCCCGACGAGCCGTCGAAGAGGTCGACGTTGTTCGTGTAGACGCCCTCGTCG